GAGGTCAAGCCAATTATGGTCGGACCGAGCTTCATAGTTGTTCGCTCAACAAATGAATACGGTTTGACGCAATTCAAAACACTAATCCCGGCAGGGCCTTGGTAATAGGCATTGAGGACTCACTCTGCCAAGTGTCGTCATGCTTCTCGGTCTAGCAGCAACGGCTGTCATAATGCAGATAGGGAAGAGCATTGAAAAGATTCCGTTGTCGATGAACCGTGGAAAGACGGAACATAGCACAGTCGAGGGGAGACCTGGAGGCAAATGAGCACGTCAAAGACTTCCTTGACACCTGACCGAATCCGATGAAGTATGCCCAATGCCTCTCTATGAAACGTAAACGGACATGGGACTCCCATCCGAGATATACCCATCGATACTCGAAGCTGTATGTAGAAATCTGAGGAGGGACTGCGATAAAAACCATGACGTGGCCGCATTGTGATACCAGCAAGCACATGCTTGTCAGATTGAGGAAGGTGCCGATGTATGGTACAAAACCCAATAGCCATGTTTGCAGGGCGAATATAATATTGAGCAAGTTCCGCATCAATGCATCGACTATTCGAGCTGTTAGAGTAGTCTTAACCCTTGGGTCCGATGGAGAGAATATCGCGAAGGTCTCATTGGCGATATCCTGAAAGGCACAGTTGACGAGTTCTGCGTTGAAGTAGTCACTAGATAATATCGTGCCCACAAATGATGGTCAATACTGATACTCTTAGTATCATCAAATGTTGGGGCAGCTATGCCATACGAAGATACGCCTCAGTACAGTAAATTAGTGGGGCAAGTATGCCATCCGATACACCTCAGTACGATAAATTAGTGAGGCAAGTATGTCATACGAAGATACGCCTCAGTACAATAAAGCAGTGAGGAAACTATGCCATCCGAAGATACTCCTCAATACGATACACTTCGTCCAAGAGTATGCACACGAAATAAGTTGACCAGTTTCTCCGCTGGGGCAGCTATGCCACCCGGAAACATCCGTCAGTGTAATTAATTCCCCTGACGTACGAGATATAATGATCAGTTTCAGTTTTTGAGGTCGATCCCGTTCGAGGGCCGATATGCCACTTCGGGCACAGTGTTCCCTATTCGCCAATGAATTCATGCCAGATTCCCTTGCAACGGCATAAAACGCTGCGCCGGAGGCCCGAAGTGGC